ACAAGACCCTTCCCACAGGCACAGCCACATCGAGGGTCGGCACAAGGGGCTCAGCAAACCCCCTCCCCCAAGGAACTTCTGGGGGTTCCCCAGCAAATCCCACCCCATGGGCTATGCCGGGGCGTTCCGCTGCCCCGGAAAAACCAGAGATGGGAGGGAAGATGAGTTTGGCCAGTACAAACCCAGTTTGGGACTGGGACCAGCACTGCTGCGCAGCACCGGCCCCGGCACCAAAAAGCCCCGGCGCCGCCCCCGGAAAGCGGCGCCTGCCGCGGGGCTGACGAGCGGCGAATTTGGGTTTCCTGTCGCGCTCGGGCTCTGCACGGAGGTTTCAGAGAAAAACATCCCGAGCAGCATCCCCAGCACAACCCCCCCGCGCCAAACCAGGGGCAAAAACCCCCCGGCCGAGGGGCCAGAGCCCGGATCCGGGGGATCTCCGTGCGCCGAGGGCCGGGCACGGGCTGAGCCAGCACCAGGCGGGGACCTGCCGGCCTCTGCCAGACATTTGGGCTGTTCAGAGGCTTTGGAGCCTCTCACATGTGAGGCAGCATCGAAAAAACCCCAATATTGGCAAAAGCCTCGAGTTTTGCAGTTTCGGGTGCTCTCCTACCTTAAAGACCTTGCCAAAGGCACCGTCACCCAGTTCACCCAGCACCGACCAGACCTCTTCGGGGTCCACATCCCTCCTGACGCGCTCGTACCACCTCGGCGGCTTCTTCTTGTCCGACAAACCAAAAAGGCGTCGGAGAAAAGCCATGAGGCCACCTCCATGCAGAGAAAACTGGAGCTTCCACCACCAAGAGCCTTCGCAGCCCTCGCTCCTCTTCCTCCTCCGCGGGCAGGAAGGGGCCGAGCGCAGGATGTGCCGTGAGATGGAGGTGCCGTAAAGGTGATGCTGAGCTCTGTACCTGGTGCATCCCACCCTTGGGTGCTTGTCAGGATGGGAGAAAGGGTTGGTGCTCACCCAAAGGTGCCACCAGCACCCATCACACCCTCCCCAAAACCCAGGGTGTTGCCTGAACCCCTTGCCACCTCCCCAAAAACCCAAAGGTGCCGCCAGCACCCATTGCACCTTCCCCAAAGGTGCTGTCTGCACCCACCACACCCTCCCCAAAATCCAGGGTGCCACCAGCATCCATCGCACCCTCCCCAAAGCTCAAAGGTGCCTCCAACACCCCAAAGGTGCCACCACCACCCTTTTCACCCCCTAAAGGCCAAAGGTGCCACCAACACCCTTGCACCTTCCCCAAAGGTGCCACCAGCACCCAGCGCACCCTCCCCAAAACCCAGGGTGCCACCAGCACCCCTCCCACCTTCCCCAAAAGTGCGACCAGCACCCATTGCACCCTCTCCAAAGCCTAAAGGTGCCACCAACACC